ACTAAAGTTCAAAGCCAGGCTAAGTTCCAAGTGCTCTTCGACAAATCCATCCCTTTCACTCCCCATTACCAGAACCATACCATAGAAATTCTTAATTAGGTGAACTTACCACATTAGAGAATTCTATTTAGCCGAATCACACACATTATTATGACGTCTACCAAAAGATGGAACCCTAAACATATTCACCACTCTCCACAAGAATTTTATTTACTTCGGATCAACTCGTTAATAAACAAGTCAAGTTCGAGTTCGAGTCGTTTAATTTATTGAAATTTTGACTCTTGTTTGAGTCAAGTTTGACTAAATTTTGGCTCATAGGTGAGCTCACAAGCTCTACCAGAGAATGACTCAATCTAATTAACATACTTTGTTGGTATATTTCATCATATATGATGCATGTGATTAATGTCGTGATGAAGAAGACAAAAGAATATTGAAAAAATAATAATATTTGATTTTCATCATTAATATACTTTGTTGGTTTCATATAGATATTTCATAAATTTAATTAATTTATACCATGTTATCTTAAAGTAATTAGTATATAAGCAATCTATGATACCTAATTTTTCTTTTAGATTAGAAATGAGACATGTTTGTCCACGTACTCAAAGAGTTAAACATCATATATGATGAGATATAGAATCTAACAAGTCTATGAATTATCAACAAGCCAACTAAAGATGTCAGTTTCGACTTGACCCAATTTACCGCACATGCTTGATCTGTTATGGGGCTTGTAATGCCGCCCCATTCTCAACCTATTCTTGCTTAAACTAAATGTAATTTTACTCAAATCACTTAAAATTTTACTTTAATTGCCTCAAATTTTAGCTATAATAAAATTGTAAATATGTGAAAACCTATACTTTCCGAATAATTTAACTACATTTATTATTTTATAGTTTGTTACTTGATTCTTTTAATGAAAAAGTAATTGTTTCTAATGTTCTCCCTTTAAATTAATTACACATATGAGTCGACCTGCTCCCCATAATAAATTAAACGACATGCACCCGACCTACCACGAGGCTGGTATGGATAACAAGATACCACCTCGACCTATCTCGTTCGTCATTCCTAAAGCCAACTCATAAGTTATAGATTGAGTCACAAATAACCTGTAAGTCGAGCTGGCTAATTAGCAATTCTTTCGAGGTAACTTATGAACTCAAAATGAGCTCTGTCACGAGTTAAGTTCAACAATCCACCAAATCAAGTTGCCTCACAAGCCTTGTAATTTGAATAATGTTGAGCTCTAACTTAGCTCGTGAGCAAAGGCCGTGTATTGAATAAAATCTTCCCGAACCAAACTTCAAACCGCCCATAAACAATTCGACTAATTTACAGCCTACAATAGAAACCATTACAAAATTCCAAGGTTCTAAAAGGCGCTAGGCGTAAGGCAGACGCTCGGCTCCTGACTTGCGCCTTGCCGATTAGGCGTAGCCTAGGCGCGCCTAGGCGTTCAGAGCATAAATGGAAAAATTCTCAAATATTTCCTGTTTTCTGGAATAATTCATATAATCCAAGTGCATATAAAATTAGCAATGCCTAGTTCTTAACAGTAAACACTTAACATAACAAATAACAAGCAAATAGTGACCAATCATCGAGGCAAGAAGCTTGTGCTACGTACCGAGGAGAAGGAATGAGCAGCAATTGACGAGTTTCGACTTTATTTCCCACTATAGCAGCGGAGCGGTGTGAAGGCGAGAAGAGTGATCAATGATTTTCTCCTGCGGTTACAGAGAGCATCAAATGGGGCGAGAGCTAGGGCGGCAGGCGGTAGCAGATGGGGCGAGAGCTAGGGCGGCAACAAATGTTACTTCCCGTGTTTCTGATTTTCTAGGGCAAGAAGCAAGTTTCTGATTTTCTAGGACAAAACGGAGAGTATTGGGTTTAACCGCCTAAGCTCGCCCAGGAACGCCCAGGCACGCCTTCTCTCCACTAGGCGCAAACTAAGCGCTATTCCTACCTACTAAGCGCTACCAGCGCCTTTTACAACGCCTATGGCCGAGTCAAGGCGATCCTCTACCGCCTAGCGCCTAATTGAGCCTAGGCGTGCGCCTAGGCGCGCCTTCTTGAACCCTGCAAAATTCTGACATCCATTACTAAGTCTGACGCCAGAACTATGACCAATGAAAACATATGGTAAATCAACCCCTTATAATTCCAGCACCCTTTCTTGTGTTCTTAATCCGTATTACTATATTAAATTCCACAAAAGCTAGAGTACACCTAAACCATTTCTTTCCCCTACAAAGCAAATGTTCATGTTCTAAAATGGATTATTGACCAACAAACTTAAAAATGGGCACTAACTTGCTCACTCCAGCCCTTGAGCCTCTCAACACATGACATGCAATCTCCTGATCTAAGCCCCTAAATGCTATATATTACTCCAATCAATCACTCACTCACTAAGCTTAAGAATAAATTATATTGATGAAAAGCTTTTGTCCCTCGTGAAAACAACGGCCATGTTCAATCGTTGATTGTGGACACAAAAGAAAGATACAACCAACCAAAAGCAAGGTGGAAGTAAAAGAGATAAAAGGTCACAATTGATGAACAATTGCCTCCAATGTTATGGTATGATGATAAGGTAGCATCTTCTTTAAGCACCATAACTATAATAATTTAACAATGTTTTCTGTTCGCACTAAATTCATGTCCAGGTACATAGGTAAAAATTTAACCAAAAGAAATGAGTTTTGGCGTCTGATTTAGATATAAGCATGTTACTTCGTAGCTAATCAAATGAGTGATGCCATTATACAACAATAATTGTGTGTCAATCGTTATTGTATTTTTTCTGTTCATCCAAAGGGTTTGAGCTTATTGTGCTAATTGAGGTTTCAAGACATGAATGGCTTAAAGGTTTGCTTTTTAGGAGTGGGGTAGGAAAAGGGTTATTTATTTATTTTTTTTATTGTATTGAGGAGGTTAAAATGGCTTTAAAAGGAAATACCCACTATCATAAACTTTATTTTAACATAAAGGGAATTCCTTTTAATTTACTTATTAGGGAAAAAGAAAGAGGGAAGAAGAAAATGGATTACATGATAGATGAAAAGATTACTAAAATAATTTTTTTAAATAATTCTAGCAAGGTGGATGAACTCCATGCAACTTATCTTGAGTGGAGGCTTGCTTTTTATTTAATTAATACAAACAAAAAGGTTAAAAGAATATAGTGTAGCTTCTCTTGCTAAATAGCCTCCTATGATGCTCCATATGTGCTTTCATATTGTCCCTTGCTTTGTCTAAATTTAATTGGGCTATATTCTCGATTTCCAGTCATAAAATTATTCAAATATTGTGAATTTTAAATCAGAACAATTTTCACTATCTTAAGGGTTTAAAACAAGTGGAGAATTTCTTCCTTCTCCCCTTTTTAAGTTGATGGAGCTTACTATACTAATAATTTCACTATGGATTCTCTAGAAAGATGCTGAATTAAGCAATGAGTAATTTCTGATTTGGAATATGCCCTTCAGTTTTGGCTCATTTAAATGGGGTGTATAGAGGATAAAATCGTCTACAAGGAACCCCCTCTAGCTCGTTTCGTGTTGGGACTGGATCAAGTCGAGTAATATTTGCACCGAGCACATGGCATGACAAGCTAGCCTATTTCGACATACTATGTGAAAAAGAAGTATTTAATATCTCAATTTTTACATGAAAAAAAACTAAAAGGATAATACTTTTCGAAGTTCATAACTAAGAGAATGACATGACTAATGAGCCAATTTTTCTTAGAAGTAGAAAGTCCCACTAACTTATGGCTACAGTATATTATAGAGTCGTCAAAGTAGCGTAAGGGTATAAATACTCGAGAAAATCAATGCAGAACAAGTGTATAACAGGGCGAGACGAGAAAATATTAAAATAAGACATATACCATATCCCATGCTACTCGTAAATTAAGTATTAACCGTGGGGAATTGAAACAGGGACTAGTCAATAGTGCATAAATTTGTTTGTATGTCATCAAGTCAATTCCTTTCTCTCGAGTTCAAACTACGAAGTAAAATAAACCCTCATAATCATATCTCAATCCTATAACCTTGTGAGTTGTGATTGTGGATAATAGTGTTTAACCAGCTTAAACTGTGCCAAATAAAAAGCCATTTAGCTTAGGCCAATATAATATGGCCATTTGGGTAAGTTTTAAGAAATTAAAAAGCCCATCAAGACCCAAATCTTCATAAGGACCAGACTCACAGCCCAACAGGTTGGCCCGTTCATCTGCAGACCATCCCACAATGGTTAGTAAAAAGAACTTCCAACTGAGCACAGTTAATGCACATTCACCACAGAACCTGGTAACCAAAGATTTAATGAGACATATACTAATAACTCACCACTTGCAAGTTAGACATAATGTGCCTTCAATCAACTCTTTCAAGTCACAAAACTACATGTCTCATTCAAGTTTGAAACAGTAGTTAACTGCAAGCAAATCCAACCCCTCATTCTCAATCTTTCTCTATACATCATAACCAGTTTACCAAAGAAATGATCTGGAAAAGATACGCAGAAACATCGACGTTCCTCAATCGAGTCAGAAGTCGGGTTTAAGCCTTCTAATGGCAGTAAGCAAGTTAAACTAGTCGAAGATAAGGGATTCATATATATTGCAATATAATTGAGACATTAGCATATAATAAAGGGTAGCCAAATTTTCCATTCCAACACTCAGGATCAAAAAAGCTGAGCTGAATGCTGAGCCATACTCGTTTTTTTTTTTTTTCCAATTTATTTACATCTAATTTGGCCTTACCGCGTAATTTTCAGGTTTGATTGGACTGCTTAGGCAATCTTCCTTCCAAAGCTGCAATGTCGAAACTTCATAGCCTGGTTAAAATGAAGCTTTCTGATGCAGTTTCTGTTAGCTATATATACAGCTCTCCCAAGAACATGTCTCCAACAGCCATGGCAGGTCATATGCTATGTACACACGGCTGGCTGGCTGGTAGTTCTGTGCCGAGTCAGATCATATAATCGAACAGAATGGCATGGGTCTCGGGCATCACAAGGGGAAGATTCTCGACATAAAGATAGAAACGCCTAAGGTTCTCTTTCGCTAGAGTTGCAGCATCGACTATCTCACCATTGGTAATTAGAGCCCACAAGTCTCTAGACCTCACTCTTTTGAGGCTGCCGCGGCAGAACGGGCAGGACTGTGATCTTGAGTTCCTGTTCAAATAAAGATCAAACTGGTATAAAGGGATTGAACTACACAAATAACCGAAAGCCAAGTTAAGATACAAAAAGCAGTCTGAGAAGTTACCAATCGTGGAAGCAATTCATGCACAAGGAGTGCCCACAATTTGGTAACACCATTTTCCCACCATTCTCCATGCATATCCCACATTCATCATCTCGCTCGAATTCATTATTATCGGCTAGCCTTCTCCTGTCCTCTGCTCTCTTCCTGGTTAAGACTTCATTGCCCCGACTTCTCTTGTGGGTATCTTCTGATTCCACAAACTGACCTTCGAGCTGCCTGAGTGAAGGATATATAATGGCTGCAAAACAGAACATTCCATCCCAGATTTAGATTATCAAGATAATCAGTTAAGCAGTGTTTCGAGAATAATCGCTTAGCAAAGAAGTTCCGGACCATAAAACTCCCTTAGGCTAGCCTTCCTCTCTTTAGAAGACAAAGTCGGCACTCCATCAATGTAAACCTGGATAAAGCAAGACAGTTCATATGAGCTCTGTATGCAGAATACACTAAACCTCACATTTGAACATATCACAAGGCAGAATGAATAACGAATTGCGCACCTTGTAAACAAGAATATGGAGCAGGCCTAAGTAGCTCGGGAGAGCATCAGTACAACTGTAATCCATCCACTCAACCAAGAACAGGAGGTAGGGAGCAATTGGACTGTATGAAACCCTCATCTGTACACAATCCCCACCATAATCTCCCGGGAGAGAAGCTGCCCTGCAATGCATAAACCCCCACCAGAAAAAGCCATATATCAACAATCAATCAATTCAATCCTAATTGTGATGCCCAAATTCACATCAAAAGGGTCCAACACAACAGTGCACCTCTGCAGAAACTTGCAAAAAACAGACAACTTTCATAAACCCTTCTGAACAAATAAAGAAAAAACACACTAAATCCTAAGATGGTGTTTACTATTATTGTATGTTTTGGTTTTCTGTTGTAGCCTTCGAGCTCGTCTTGGGGTTCATGGGAGGCGGAGCCATGGCGGCTGTGACGGAGAGAGGAGCACTTTCCCTTTCTCCTTCTTCGAAGCCCCTCAATCGAATCTCTCCTTGTTTGTTATTTTTGCTTTCAATGTTTAAGAGATTCCAAGTTGAAACTTCCAAGGATTCTTTCTCTAAAGAACAACAATTTCTGCCAGGTTCATACCGCCACCATATTCCCAAGACACCAACTTTTTTTTCCACAAATTCCTGCTTTCACCTACTCCAATTGGAAGAAGAAACCAACTATCCATCCACTAGACCAAAAACAGGAAAAAAAAACCCACAATTTTTTTTTTAAACGGGTTCCAAATTGAACAAAAAGAGAAGAGGAATTTGTTGAGACTCACAAGGTATTGGCATGTTGAATATCAGCTTCAAGGGCTTTGAGGGATTCTCTGAAAGGAGATGATCTAAGTGGCTGTTTCTCCTCCCACATAACTCTTCACTAGTTCTCTTCTAGATAACCTTCTACCCTTTTGAACCCCTGCTGATTAAATTAAAGAAACACCCAGAAGAGAACAAAAAGGATTGAAGAGAGGGTTATGCAGAGGAAAAAGGCAGAAGGGTTTCTTTGTTTGTTTGTTGATGGCGCAGAGGGTTCTGCAGAGAGAGAATGTTATGGGGGAAAGGAGATGATGAAAGATGGAGACTTTTCGAAAAGGGTGAGCCGAGAGAGATGAGAAAAGTAGATAAAAGAGGAGATGGGAGAAAACGAAGGGCAATAAAGAAAAGGGGAGAACTTTGCTTAGTGTTGAAACCTTTCTTTCACACAGTGGGGAGAGGGAAGAGGAAGGGGAAGAAGAAAGGAGAAAGCAAAGGATGGCTTTGCCTTATAGACGGCCTAAATGGAATGCTCTCTCAGTCTCTCTCTTTCCATTTCTTTGGGTTTGGTTTTTCGTCAAAATCCAATTTATTATTTGCCTGGAAATTATCCACTTTGGCTGGCAATTGGGGTTTGGGTTTTTCTTGCCTGCCACCATTATTATGTGGAGCTCTGACTTTCCTTGCAAACCTTTTGATGACCTAAAGAGAAAGTAAAAAGGAGAAACTGAAATGTATTAAATGAGGCTTAATCCAGGGACATCAGAAATGAAATTTAGGAGAAGATTCTTCAGTCAGACTGTACTATTAAATACAACTTTTTTTGTTAAAAAATAGCCACACTACAACCATACGGGCTCGTGAGATTACTCTTGAATTTAGGAGTGGTTTGGTTTTGGTGATTATTTGGTTGAGATAACTATAATTTATGTATTATCCATAATGTATTGTTTTTTTTATTGTATGCACAAACAATACATGCATTGTTTGATTGATTTGACACAAACTATCACTCAAAATGAGTAATAGTTAAATCTCAAGTTTTTTGTGAAATTGTTGAGATTATTTGGGGTTTTTTTCTTCCAACTATGCCCCTACATTTTTATGTGTGTTGCTTCTTTATATTAAAAAAAGGATAAAAGTGATATTTCATCCAAAAAAGTAATATAATTTATTTAAATAACACAACCACTATCACAAAAATCAAACAATGTATACTACAATACACCAATTTTTGTATATACATGTATATTATTATGAATGCATTAATGACAATACATCTATTTAACTATCACCGAAACCAAACGACTTAGTCATATACAATACAATTTAAATTAATAATAATTAAATTTTAATGATCAATAATTTTTTAATACGATTGTATATAACATTAAAATAGAAATGATATGTACATACAATCATAAAATTTGTTCGTGTAATGATTATCATTAGATGAATTTCTCATTTATGAAGTTGTATCGAGCAATTTTCGTGAATACTTGATGGTTTGTTTGAATGAGTTATTGCAACGAGTTATTTTTATCAAAATATATCGTGTTCTCCAATAACACATAAATTTTTTTCTAATACTAATAACAATAATGGATAAGTTTCGTCAATAATACCACACATGCAAAATGATGCATTCAAACGACCCAATATCAATTTAAATCGTACATGACTTTCAAGTAAATTCGCACCAACTTTGTTCATTGTCATACAATTGAAAATTGACATTAATTTCAAATGGATTCGACGGATCAAAAATGATGATTATTGTTGGGGGTATTACCCAGCAAGTGGAAGTTTGGGCCCCCAGACAAAGGACTTGGGGGGCAAGGCCCAAAAGAGGGTCCTGGAAATACCTCAAGGCCCAAGTAAGAGGAAGGGCGCATGAAGACAAAACACTAAAGGCCAAAGGAGTCCAGGCTGGCAGGTGGTCCATCACCTGGGGGCGCCTGGCACGCGTCAGAAGCCTGACAAGGTGGTTGGGGTGTCTGACAGAGAGAGTACAAAGCATTAAATGGACACAATGACGTGGAGGGGATCAACCTCGAGTTCGGTGAGTATAAATAGGGGCAGTTGGTAGCATTTACACAGGTGGGCTTCTCACACTAAAACCCGACTTTATACTTCTCTCACTAGACATGGTTCTGACTTGGGCGTCGGAGTGCTAACGGGCAGTCCCTGGCCCTTTAGGCGCTTGTTTTCGCAGGATCCGGGCGCCCTTAGTGAGTACGAAAGGATAGAGATCAAGGAGCGGGGTCACGAGGAACGAGGCACAAACAATTGGCGCGCCAGATAGGGGGCGCCGACATGGAAAACTTGAACGTTGCGGACGACGGGGAAGACGTGTCGAGGTTGAGCAACACGATTCATAAGGAAGGCGAGCAGCACCGAGTCGGGAGATGAACATGGAGGCGGAAGGGGAAGCGAGCCCTGGGCGCCTATCGGCGGATGGAGGGGAATCTTTGACGAAGAGAGAGCTATTTCGAATTATAGCCGACCAAGATCGGGCCATTGCGGCGCTCAGAAGGGAGTTGGATGGGGAGCAAAGTGAGGACGTGATGATGCATAGCCCAGGAGCTAGGAAGCGAGAAAGAATGGGGGAGGATTCGGAATATTTGCAACACGGGCACCCACACCAAGCTGATCAAGGACATGACATACCAAGGCGTGCACACGCCTGGAAAATGCCTGCTGAGCATACCCAGGCGGAGCCGGAAGACTTGTGGGCGCCTAGAAGAATCGCCAGGCGGTTCGGAGTCCGGCAACCATTGGCGCGAAGTATCCTAGTGGAACCGGCGGGAACCACGATTCCCCCGCTACCCAGTTACGACGGGGTGGCGGATCCAGAAGATCATTTGAACAGCTACTTCACGAAGATGCAGCTTTACAACAGCTCAGACGTCACGTTATGCAAGGTGTTCCCCTCCACGTTTGCAGGCGTAGTATTGGATTGGTACCATCAAATCGAAGAGGGGCGCATAGAGTGTTTTGAACAGTTTGCGGAGTTATTTTTGTCTAAATTCGCAAGTAGGAAGCGTCGGACGCTGACCATAGGCGCATTGTTCAAGGTAAAGCAGAGGGAAGGGGAGGCGCTTAGAGAATTTTACGACCGGTGGATCTCTGTAGCCATGGCGGTGAAGGATGTCCAACCGGCGGTACTGGGGGTTTGCTTGGACGCTTGCACCTCGAGCGAAGAACTCTGTCGAGTCCTTTCGAAGCGGGATGTGGTGTCCACGGAGGACCTGGACCGAAGGGTGCAGAAGGTAATCATGTTGGAGGAGACGTTGGCGGCGAGGAGAGCCGAAAAGAGATGCCTGAGGGGAGACGAATTGGAGGCAAGGCAGGCGCCCCGGGTGCCGTCTGGGAATTTTGGTCCGCAAAGAAGACCCGAGGCGCCTCGCCCCATGCCGAGAAGCTCAGCCAATTTTACAGAATATAATGATACGCTGAAAAACGTACTACAGTACGTGAAGGATAGGGGCTACCACATACGGTGGCCGGGGCCCATGCGCGGCCAACCAAACGAGAAGAACCTTGATAGGTATTGTGACTTTCATCGCGACAAGGGGCACTACACGGCCGACTGCTACCAACTTAAGGCCGAATTGCAGGCTTTAGCCGACAAGGGCATGCTCAATGACTTTGTTAGGAGGGCAGAGGACAGGACCCACCGGACGTATGTGACGAGGCAGGCGCCGGAAGTCGCGAGGAACTCAAAGATGCATGAAGCCCCAGGGACCCATGAGGCGCCTGAAAGGCCAAGGACCCCACAGGAGCTGATGATACCGCCCCCCCCCCCCCCCCCCCCCGTTTGAAGTGGACCAAGAGGGAAAGCCGAGTCGCATCAGGCTCACGGTCGAATCCATAACCGGCACTGTAGACTTGAGGGAGAAGTTGGAAAGGTCTAGACGCCTGAGATCCGCGTCAGTTGAAGCAAGGGAAGCAGTGCAAATCAACTTCAACCAAGAGCCGGACGAAGCGTGCCAGATCCCATCAGAGGAAGCTTTGGAGATACAGGGGGTGATAGCAGGATGTAAAGTGAAAAGGATGTTAGTTGACACTGGCAGCTCCATGGATGTCCTCTTCAAGAGCACGTTTGAGCGCATGCAACTGGCGCCTGAATTGGTATGTCCATCGAGTTCGGTTTTGATTGGTTTTTTCGGTGCGCCAGCCCAGGTCATCGGGCGCGTACGACTACCAGTGACCCTTGGAGATGAGACACATTGTGTGACGCATGCGGTGGAGTTTGGGATTGTGGATTGCCCATCGCCCTACAATGTGATACTTGGTCGTCCGCTATTAGCACAATTCAATGGCGTGGCGTCCACTTGTCACCAAACGCTGAAGTTTGTAGCACCCCAGGGCATAGGCATTTCCAGGGGAAGAAATGTTCCACGATACGCCCGAGAAGAAGACCCGAGGAGCCGCGTTCGCAAACATAGGGTCAACACTATCGACATCCGCCTTGAGGAGGCGCCTAGGGCGGAAGCCTTGGACGACGAACTTGTAGTAGCCTTGGACGAAGGGTGCCCGGAGAGGCAAGTGCGAATTTTGGCACAGGCCCCTGAAGTAATGAAGGCGCCTCTGATTGAACTACTAAGGGAGTTCGGGGAGTTATTCGCGTGGGGCGCCCAAGATATGCCCGGCGTTTCTCCGGACGTGGCAGTGCACAAGCTTGCGGTGGAAGTAGGGAAAAAGCCCGTGCAACAGAAGCGCAGAAACTTGTCTCAAGAAAAGGAGGAGGCGCTCCGCCGAGAGGTTGATAGATTGCTAGAAGCGGGATTTGTGGAAGAGGCGAGATACATCACATGGCTGTCTAACGTGGTGTTCGTCCCAAAACCGTCTGGCGATTGGAGGATGTGCGTGGACTTCTCCAACCTTAACCGAGCGTGCCCCACAGATGCATACCCCATGCCGCGCATTGACCTGCTTGTAGATGCCACCGCCTATCACGAAGCACTGAGCTTCCTTGACATGTTCTCGGGCTACCATCAAATCCCTATGGCCAAGGAGGATGTGGCCAAGACAGCGTTCATGACGCCCTTTGGGAACTTCTGCTACAGAGTGATGGCGTTTGGCTTGAAGAATGCCGGGGCAACATATCAACGTATGGTGAATCAGATTTTCCGCAAGCAAATAGGAAGGAACGTGGAGGCATATGTAGATGATTTGATTGTGAAGAGCAAGAGGCGCCAGGACCACATCATGGACTTACGAGAAACCTTCGAAACAATGCGGCGCTTCCGGTTGCGACTTAATCCCAAGAAGTGTGTGTTCTTGGCCGAAGCAGGAAAATTCTTGGGCTTCATGATAACAACGGGGAATCGAAGCTAATCCTAAGCAAGTTGAGGCGATCATGAGTCTGGGCCACCCCCGAACGCCTAAGGAGGTGCAAGTCCTGACAGGGAGATTGGCGGCGCTTGGGCGCTTCATCCCAAGAGCCTCTGACCGAGGCGCCCCTTTCTTCAAGACATTGAAAAAAGCCT